TGAGCCTGGTTTATAGGCACCTCTAGTGTCACCTGTGCGCTCGTCGGGCACTGCTGCTTCCTGCCTCAGTTCCCGCTTGTTGCCACTGGCTGTTTCTTTGGTGACTGATGATTTCCACATGGTAGCTTGAAGACCACACAAGTGAAACCCATTTGCAGTGGGCAGTATTGCCCACCTCATCCATCCTAGAAAAACAAATTCCAGTTTTCACCCTCTCTGGGTACTGGCCACTGGCATGCTATTAATGTTTCTTTAAGTTGATTCAACCCTTGAATTTAAATGCCTTTTCAAAGGACCTTCGGATCACTACTACAAAGGGAAATCCAGCTCTCTCAGAGAACTTTCAAAAAATACAAAATGACTACATTGAAAACGCATGCCCTGATCTAAGATCAAAGAGTGCATCACCAGCGTGCCCAGCACACTTGGCGAAATGTGGAGTTAGATGGAGAAAAGATGGCAGAGGATGGGTGACAAGTGTGACGTTCAGACGGTTTACTGGGAAGAAAGGCAGCTGATTCCCAGCCCCTCCCCTGTCTTGCCGCGGCTCTGTGGCCACTAGCCTAGGACAGAAGGCGTGGGGCTTGGCTCTTGGCATCCCCTGCCCCCCAGGCAGCCCAGGCTGTTGGGTAGAAAAGCTCCAGCTTTTACCTGAAACTAACCCCTCAGGCTTTTTCCTTCTAGACCAGTTCCTCATCCACCCCTTTAGGAAACTTTTTCCAAGAACTGTTGCTGCAGGCTGATCAGCTGTGCCTTTTGGAATTCATCCGATGAACCGTGGCAGATGGGTGATTGACCCACTTGCGGTGTCACCTGCTGTAATGCTCTCATGTACCCCCTCTACATGCCTAACTTCGTTGACCCCCGTTGTTCTTCAGATCAGAGGTGAACCACCTCCTCTCAGAAGCTGTCCTTGACCACCACTAACCTCACAAGGTCAGACCTCACACTCTCCTGTACCTTCCCCGGCCTCCTGTCTTCATCACAGGTCCTAGCCTTGTGCCTGTGAAAGTATCTGAGGAACAGTCAGCTTCTGCATTTGACTGAGAATGCACAGGGTGCGGTATGTCCGGCAGGGTAGGGTATGTCTGTTTGACTCCCCATGCCCCCACTGTCTGCTCTGCAAAGACTTAAAGCAAAGGTACCAGCTGCATAGATAATTTGTTACGTCCAAGCACTGCCTGGGAAGCTTAATGTACATAACTGCATTACATGTGCTGCACCACTTCTACCCATTTTACAGATTCAGGTGGAAGCTTGCCCAAGAGAGCTGGCAAGTAGCCCCCTGGGGTTTGAGTCTAGTTGCTGTAGCTCCCTCTAAGATTTCAGTGTGTTCTGCTGGTCACATAGGACCAGCCTCTATGTCCAGTGCCCCTGCCCCCTTCCCAGATGGAGAGCAGATTCCATCCGGGCTCTTGTCCTCAGAGGCAGAGTCCATGCGATGGGTAAGAACCCCACAGTCACCATCTGATTTCCTTGCTCTGGGCTTATGTATAGGTTCGTTGGTTGGCCGTGCCTAATGTCAGCCTGCTAGCGAGGACCCTTGTGGGGTAGCCGTCCCATTTCAGTTTCTGTCCCCTCAACATCGAGACGCACCCCGGTCACAGGAGTCCCCTCTCAGGTCAGGCTGCCCTCCCGCCTAGGGAGACTCCTGATAGGACTGCAGAGCACATCTAGAACATGTCTGACGTCAAGGCGGAGACTTCTCTTCCTCTAGCAGAGTCTGCTGCTGACAGTAATTTGAAGATTTTAATCAAATGTTGCTGGCAGTTGGTTGAGGGAGGAGGCTCTTTTTCCCTTAAAAATACAGTTACCTACACGAGTACATTACCCGTACTCATGTAAACACTGATATTCATAATATATGTGGGTATGGCAAAAGAAGGCCTACTAATGATGGAAGTTTTGCCAACACTGACGTGGAGCGTACTGCTCCATCCCCTTCATGGGTGGCAGTGACAGTCCTCTTGGCTGTGCCGCCTGCTGGGTGTCCAGACGTGGGCAGCCTGCCTGCTCAGAACTGACCCGCCCCCAGGCTCTCGGCTGGTGACAGTGATCGCACAGGGCCCGGCCTCAGGGACCCTCTGGGGCTGGAGGGGTCTGGTAGTGAATGGCCTGTTCTACCGCAGTAGGGTGCATGCCGTGCAAGGGGGGAATCCCAGAGGACTGTGGGGTACCCCAGGACCCAGCGGGGAGTTGAGAGGTGGCAGGAGTTGGCCAGAAGAAGGGAGGACCCCAGGCGGACAGGTCACCGTGTGCCTGTGGGTCTCCATTCTGGTGTCTCCGTTCCTTTGTGTGGATCCTCACTCCCACCTAGTGCCTGTCCCTTTGGCTTAAATGTCTCCCTTTCGCATTCCTTGCGTGCAGCTCTCTTGGCAACGAGTCTTGTGGCCTCAGACATCAAAATGCCTTTATTTCACCTGTTTTTTGAAAGACAGTTTTGCTGGTGACAAAAATTCCAGGCAGGCATTTCTCTGTAGTGCCGTGAAGATGGCGCCACTGTTTCCTCATTTGCATGGTTTGCAGCGATTAATCGGTGTCTTCTCTTCGTTTCTCTTTATATAATGTGTGTTTCTCCAGCTAGTTTTAAGATTTTTCTCTTTGTCACCAGTTTGGAGCAGTTTGATTCTGTTGTGCCTGAAGTTGATTTCTTCAAAAAAAAGAAAGAAAGAAAGAAATATAAAGTATTGAGTTCATATATTTTTTAGTTTTTTTAAAAAGATTTATTTATTCATGCATACAAGAACTGGGGTACAGGCCAGAGATGCAGGGGGTGAGAGGATTCACCAGAGACAGAGCAGGGAGCAGAACAGGCAGACTGACTGAAATACACTGCTGAGGGGAGCAGCAGGGAGACAGGAGAGGTCTGCCACGCCATGTGGGTAGCTCCCTGGCTGGGGATTGAACTCATGTTGCAGTGGCTGCAGATAGCTTCATAGTGCTGTGTCTTAACCCCGTGTACCACCAGAGAGGCCCCCAATTTCTTCATATTTCTTGTTCTCAGCGTTGATCTTGGATCTGTGGGTTTGTCATTTTTGTTAAGTTTGGAAAATTTTCAACCATTTTTCCTTCAAGTATTGTTTCTGTTCTTTGCTTTCATCTTTCTTCCAGTAACTCCAATCACACACACACTAGGCCCTAGGAAGTCAGGTCATAGTTTGCTGATGCTGTTTATTAACATTTTTTGTCCTCTCTGCTTAATTTTTGATAGTTTCTATTACTGTGTCTTCAAGTTTTTTTTTTTTTTTAAAGATTTATTTATTTATTTATACAAGCACTGGGTACAGTCAGAAGCACGGGAGGGTGAGAGGATTCACCAGAGCCAGAGCGGGGAGCAGAGCAGGCAGAAGGACCGAAGTACACTGCTGAGGGGAGCAGCGGGCGGCAGGAGAGGTCTGCGCGCCATGTGGGACCCTCCTCTGGTGGCCGGGGAGCAGCCGGGGATCGAACCGGCGCCGCAGAGGCTGCGGGCAGCTTCTCAACCCAGCGCTCAACCGCTGCACCACTGGGGAGGCCCTGGTTTGAATCTTTTATCTCCCATATCTCTACTTAACTTTTGGAGCATTTGGAATACAGTTACAGTAACTGTTTTAATGCCCCGTCAGCTAATTCTGCCCAACATCTATCAATTCTGGGTCAGTTTTAATGGACTGATTTTTCTCCTTATTATGTGTGATATTTGTCTTCTTTGCATATCTGATTTTTTTTATTGGGTGCCAGACATTGTGAATTTTACCTTTCTGGGTGCTGGAGATTTTCATATGCTTGCAAATATTTTTGAACTTAGTTCTGGGATGCTGTTAAATTACTTGGAAATAATTTGATCCTCTCATATCTTGATTTTAAGATTTGGGACATGGCGCCAGAGCAGGATTTAGTCTAGAGCTAATTATTCCCTACTGCAAGGCAAGATCTACTGAGACTACTCAGTAGATGTGAATTATGAGATTTTCCAGTCTGGTTGGTGGGAATAGGCACTAGTCCCAACTCTGTGCGAGGTCTGGGCAGTCTTTTAATTTTTCTTTGTGATTCTTCCCTGGCCTTGATGTTTCCTCAGTTGCACATAGCAGTCCGTCGAGTCCCGCAGCATTCACACAGGGACCTCTGCCAGCCTCTGTCCTCCTTGCCTGGGCAACCTCTCTTCTTGGACAGTCTCTCCTGCGAGCACTAGCTGCCTTGGCCTCCCACCTCTTAGTTCCTCAGTTTAGGGCATCTGCTGTCTCCCTCCTGCCCCCCTAGTCTAAAGATTCTGAAGGCAGTGAGCTGGGGTGTTGCAGGACTCACCTGTGTGCTCCTGTGTCTCAGCAATCACCGTCCCCCAGTGCCTGGTGTCCACTGTCTCAAAAGTGATTGTTCCACATCACTTGTTGGGTTTTCTGGTTGTTTCGGGTGGGAGAGTATGCTCCAGAGGCTGCTTTTTGAAATGATATGCAGGCTGCAAGTATTCCTTCCCTCTACCCCACCCCCATCCCCCTGTGTGTAGGGGTGTGTGTGTGTGTGTGTGTGGCGTGTGAGACTGAACATTTTTGTTTGTATATGACTTTATTTTCTATAGGAAGTACCTTCATTACTGCGAGCAAACTCTTGTAAGCTGTGGGCTACAAAAATGTATCAGGGATTTGTTGGTTTTCATGGAGCCAGGAGTGGGCAGAACAGCCCAGCTGCAGAGCATTTAGAAGCTGCAGGTAGAAATGGGCCATGTTCTCGGAGAGATGAGACCAGCCAACCTCCCCTCGCATCCGCGGCACCACTTCACTTGGACATGGGCTGATTGAGCTCAGGTGGCCCAGAGACAGTCCCTGGAGCCACTCGGCCCTGGGGGCAGAGGGAGGCAGATCTATGGTGGGCTGACTTCTCATCGATGCCACGCCAGGAATACCTTGCTAGATTTGTATGATGGTTTTAAATATCAAATCAAGCAGTTTATTGTGTCAGAAAAGAGAAAGGACCCAGGAGTACAGCTCTCCCGCCGTAACGGAGTGTGTTTTGTTGCGTGATAGGCCGTGATGATTGGAGACGACATCGTGGGTGACGTGGGCGGTGCGCAGCGGTGCGGGATGAGAGCCCTGCAGGTGCGGACTGGGAAGTTCAGGTGAGCATCCTTTTATGTCCCTGTTCCCTGAGGGCTACCTCGCTGGCCTTTTGTCACAGACAGTGGAAAGAGAAAGCAGTTGGGCCCAGGGTCTGAGTTTTGGAACTGGGGTGTGAGCAGGGTTAGTGCGGAGACAAAACCGCAAGGGCCTGGGCACAGGGCAGCCATCTGAGGTGAGCTGGGCCGAGTTTGGGCTGCACTCCTTTGGCCTGTGAGCAGAGCCTTGGTTGCCTGGCAGTGACCACACACAGCATGTGGACACTCGGCTTCTCGGGGTTACCCTCCCTACGCATTCGCTCCGCCCCCTTGTTGGGACAGAAAACCCAGGGAGTGCAGATCCTGGGCCATGGATGGGTCTGCATGCTTTGGGACTGAACCCCCGTCTCCAGAGAAGCTTGTGATCGCTCTGCTGGCCACCCAGGTGGGTCGTTGGTGGGCACCTGCTGGGTGTCTGCACTTGCGGGCACGGGAGGTGCCCCGTGGTGATCAGGTCTGGCTAACTGTGCTTTGGAGAGCATCTTAGACATCAGAGTGCTGTCTTGCCTTGTTCTAGACAATTCAATTGTGCCCATTCAGAGAAAGTGCAACATTGGTGCTGAAGAGACATGGTTAAAAAAAAAAAACATGTTTTTTAACCACCCAGTGGTTCCCCATTGGGTACTCTGATGGGGGGATATTATATCCATGAGTGGGAGGCCGACTCCATGCTGGGAAAACGGGTGGGGGACCTCTCTGCCGCTGGCCACTCTCTGGAGCCATGCTGTCCAGTACAGTCGTCATAGCATTGGTGGAAACGTGGCCGGTTCAAGCTGACATGTGCTGAAAGTGCCGGATACTTTCCAGGTTTCAGAATCTGAGTGGAAGGATAAGAATGTGAATGAGAAGAACTTTCTTGTATTTTTTTTTTATACTGATGAGATGCTGGTATGTTAATTTCAGCTGTTTGTTTTAACTCATGTTAGTGTAGCTGCTAGAAAGCTCTAGCTTGCCTCTCTGCAGCTCCCATCAAGGCTCACGCGGCATCTTTTGGCCAGCCGGGCCCCTGCACTGCCGCCTTCTCCCTGCAGATGGCACTCGCGGCACACGGAACACGTTGCACCAGACAGCCAGATGCTGTGTGGGTTCTGCGGTCCCCATGTGGCCGGAAATCCACAGAGGCCCCCATGCACCAGCATAGTGTGCTCTGCAGATGTGGGGCTGGCCTGGGGTCAGAGAACAGCCTCAGAAGTCAGCTGGCACCCTGGTGACTGGGCCCAGTCTCGTTTCCCTCCAGTCTCCTGGGCAGCAGCCAGCTCCTCCTTCCAGGGAGGAACCCAGAATCCTCCATCCCTCTGGCCACATCTGTTAGTGGGCAGCACTGGGATTGAAGGTCAGCACAGCCCATGTCTGCTGGGCGTGTCCTTACTGCTGCCCTGGCCTCTCCTCCCAGCGGCCCTAAGTGGGGCCAAGCGTCACTGGATTGGTCAGCGGGCTACAGGCAGGCCTCGTGAGCCTGGTCTTCTGTTGGTGGCCTTGGCTTTGACTGAGCTGGCGGAGTAGAGGGGTGTGGGGTGGCCTTGTCACAGGCATAGGTGGCAGAAAGCCAGGGGTTGAGTGAGCCATGGGGCTTCCTGCTGACTTAAGGCCAAGGGGAGGGGAAACTGGGGAGGCTGAGCCGAGTGCCACTGGGGCGGGTCCTACTGAGCCTGCAGAAAGGGAGTGAGGCTGTAGGGATGAGGTAGGCAGAACGTCCCCTCTGGGGAGTGATCAGGTTGGGCACATGCACATATATACACACAACACACACACACAACACACACACACACGCAAGGTTGTGTTTAGCATTGCTGGGGAGTGTGGGTTTTAGACTCGCCCCTGGCTGTGAGATCTCCCAGACACCTTCCATGTTTTCATTCCTCTCCACTCTTTCTGCTTTTAGCATGAAGAGAAGGTGAAGCTTCAGAGTCGGGTGGAGTCACAGTCCCTGGAGACTGGGAAGGAAGCCTTGAGGGCCTGGCCCTCCAGGAAGGCTCCGTTCCAGGCAGGAAGGCCCAGGGCCCCTAGGCCAGCCCCACGCATGGGAGCAGGCGTTGGCTCCCAGGGCAGCTTACAAACATGCCCTGCGTAGGGTGGCCTGAGCCATGGCCGGAGTGAACAAAGCTTTCTGTTTAAATATGCTGCTTGGAAGTCCAGCCACGTCTGGGCAAGGTCTCACCTGGCTGGCAGGTAAAGGCCTTTAAGGTGTTCTCGCCACCTGCCTGTTCCTGGCACATTGGGCCTGCTGGCAGGATCTTCTAGCCTGAGGCCAGGAGGCCTCTGCTTCTGACTCCCCAAGACAGTTCCCTCGCACAGGCCCCTGACTTGACAAGGTTTTTTTCTCCACCGGGGCCTTGTGCCTGTTGGTGGCAGATCCTCATGATCCCAGTGAGTCCCAGAGGTCCAGAGGGTGCTAGCACCCTGCCAGGGGCCTTTCTGTTAAGACCCTGCCAAAGCACTGCCCAAGGCCGTCCAGCCAGGGGTATGGGTGGGGGTGCTTTTGCTCCTGTGTTCCCACTGGAACACACTGCCCTTGTCAGATTCTGCAGACCCCATAGTCCCAGTCCCAGCCTCCCTCCATTCAAAACCCAGCAGGGAGTCTGTACCTACAGGAACCAGCAGTGAGTCAGCACCTATGATGCCCAGCAGGGAGCCAGCACCTACAGGGCCCAGCAGGGTATAGGATCTTATAGGACCCAGAAGAGGCTCAGCACCAATAGAGTTCAGCAGGGAATCAGCACCTATAGGGCCCAAAAGGGTGTCAGAACCCAGCAGGGAGCTGGAAACATAGACGGAAGCAGGAAGCCAGCACCTTCAAAACCCAGAGGAAGTTGGCACTACCATACCCAGCTGAGAGCCAGCACGAGAGAACCCAACAGTAAGACAGCAGGACAGATCCCTGAACCCTACTTGTCGACCCCGGGCTGCTGGTTGACCAGCTGCCTTTGGGCTGTACCTAGGCCAGCCTGCTGGTTAACCCTGTCTACACTCAGGCTGAGGCCAGGGCCAGCCTGCTGGTAAACACTTGCAGCCTCCAGGATGAGCCCAAGGCCAGCCTGCTGGTCAACCTCTGCAAACTTCAGGCACTTAGGGCTGGATTGATGGTCAACCCAGCAACCTCAAGGCTGAGCCTAGGGCTGGCCTGCTGGTTGACTCTGGCAGCCTCCAGGTTGAGCCTGGGGCTGGAGTGCTGGTCTACCTCTAACAGCTTCCAGGCTGAACCCAGGGTAGGCCTGCTAGTCGACTGGGCTGTCTAAGGGCTGACACCCAGGCTGGCCTGCTGGTAAACCCTGCCTGCACCCAGGCTGAGCCCGGGGTTGGCCTGTTGGTTGACCTTTGCAGCCTCCAGTGTGAGACCAGGGCCACTCTGCTTGTCAACCCCTAAAGCTACCATGATGAGCTCAGGGCCAGTCAGCTGGTTGGCTCTGTCAGCCTGAAGGCTGAGCTCAGGGCTAGCCTGCTGTTTAAGTCTGGCAGCCCCAGGCTGTGCACAGACCTGGCCTGCTGGTCGACCTCTGTAAACTGACCCCTGAGGTTGCCGGGTAGATCATCAGTCCAGACCTAAGTACCTGCATTTTGCAGCCTGGAGGCTGCAGGGGTTGACCAGCAATCTGGCCCTGAGTGCCTGCATTTTTCAGAGGTCAACCAACAGGCAGCCATGGGCTCAGCTGGGAGGCTGCTGGAGTGACCATCTGTCTAGGACTGAGTGGCTGCAGTTTGCAGAGGCTGACCAGCAGTCCTGCCCCAGGCTCAGCATGGAGGCTGCCAGGGTTGACCAGCAATCTGGTCCCATGTGCAGCCTGGAGACTGCAGGGGTCGACCTTTCTGTCCAGCCCTGAGTGGATGCAGTTTGCAGAAGTCAGCCAGCCTGCCAGCCCCAGTCTCAGCTTGAAGGCTGGCGGGGTTGACCAGCAAGTCGGGCTGGGCTCAGCCTGAAGGCTACTGGATTGACTGGTAGGCTGGCCCAGGGCTCAGCCTCGAGGCTCTAGTGGTAACTAGCAGTCGGGTCCTGGACTTTGCCTGTAGGGGCCAGCTGCCTGCTGGGACCTGTAGGTATTGAATCCCTGCTGCTAACTATAGGTGCCACCTGCCTGCTGGATCCTGTAGGTGTCAGCTTCCTGCTGGATTTTATATACCAACCCCATGCTGTGCACTGTAATTGTTAAATACCCATTGGGTCTTGACTTCCTGCTGGATACTGAAGGTGCTGACTCCCTGCTGTGCCCTGTAGTGCTGACCCCTGCCGGGTCCTATAGGTGCCGACTCCCTGCTGGGTCCTCTAGGTGCTGGCCCCCTGCTGAGCCATAGCTGCCAACTCCTTGCTTGGCCCTAAAGGTGATGGCTCCCAGTTGGGTCCTGACTACCTACTGGATTACGTAGATACCATAGAGATACCTGGCCCCTCCAGGGTTCTCTAGTGCTGCCTCCCTGCTGGTCCCGAGGCCCTGGACCCCAAGAGAAATTAGGAAAGCACCTTGAGTTGCCCTGGGAGCAGGTAGGATGGGCCTTGAGTGGCACTGGGATCAGTGTTGTCTTCCCCTACCCTGTTCCCTGGTCACCAGGTCTCCCGGGAGTTCCAAGCTTTGCAGCAGCTGGATCTAGCTCTACCTGAAGCTGGTGCTGCCTCTGGCCTTCTGAGTACTTATGGGCCATTTTACATTAGCATTTTTGTTAGCAAGGCAGCAAGGAGCATTGTGGTGCCATCCTAGGACTGGTCCAAATAGTCTCAAGTGCTCCCCGTCCAATCAGCCATGCAGGCTTCTTTCTGACATAGGCCTTTAGGGAAGCCTGTCTCAGGGCTTCACTTGCTGTGCATGCAGATGATGTGGTGGCAAGGCCTGTCCCCTGCTGCCCTTTCTGATGGCTGGAGAGAGATGTCCACAATGGCCTTCAGCTCCTGTTGCTGCTGGCTGTCTCCATGCTCTGGAAAGTGCTGGAAGGAACCTCATTTGACCTGGGAGGAAACCGTGCCCAGGAGGGTGTGC